TTCAAACTATATATAAGAAAACAAAAAGACAGCACCCAGACTGAAATGTAATATTTTCAAATCACGTATCTGAGAGAATATTTGTGACCAGAATATATAAAGAACTCTCAATTCTCAACCATAAAAAGTAAACAACCCAGAAAGAAACAAAACAAAAAAAGGCAATAGTTGCAGAGACATTTTCTCATGTCAAATAAGCACATGAAAAGATGCTCATCATCATTAATCATTGGTTGATGCAAATTAAAACCACACTGAGAAACTAGTCCATACATTTTAGAATGACTAAATTAACAAAACAAAGAGAGAACGCCAAGTGATGGAAACAAACATACCATCTTCACAATTTCTACTATTTTTGTATTATTGTTTATGTAACATTAAAAAAAAATTTAATTCAGGCCTAACATTAATGTCTACTTCATTATTACTGTGTCTACACATTTTTCAAAACACTTACATTTATTGTTAAATGTATTACAGATGTCCCTCTTTATTCCCCCTTGACCCCCTTCTCCCCAATCCTGCCCCCTCCTGCTTTACCCACACTGTTGTCTATGTCCATTGGTTATGCATATATACATATAAGTTCTTTGGTTTCTCTCTTCGCGACGCACCTTTCTTTAAAAAGTGTGGACTAATTTTTCTACTCTTTCATGTAGATGGGAGTTACCAATTGTCACTTATAGCAAACAGAATATGGTGGGTAGATATTCCTCCTTGTTCCATCTCTTAGATCACAATCTCTGGGAAGAGGCTGCTGACACAGCATGAGAGCAACCAACTAATTCTACAGAGCAGATCTGAGGCCTCCTCTCAGGGGTCATGGGAACTTCGTAGCTCAGTCCCAGTGAAGCCTTCAGATGACTGCAGCCCAGGTCAACATCTTAACTGCAACCTTATGAAATCCTGAGCCTGCACTGCTCAGCTCAGCATCTCCCAAATTTCTGATCTGCATAAACGATAAGATAATAAATGTTGGTTGTTTTAGCCACTAAGTTTTGCAGTAGTCTTTTATACAATAATAGACCATTGTCTTCATCAGTTTGGTCTGCCATGGTTAGACAGGGTGACTTAAATAAGAAACATTTATTTCTCACAGCTCTGAAGGCTGGAAAGTCCAAGGTCACGGCACCAGCCACTCCCTGGTTCATAGATGGCTGTGTCCTCGCGTGACAGGAAGAGTGAGAGCAAGAGCCTAGAGCTCTTGCTCTCCTAATAAAAGCACCAATATTATCGTGGGGACTCCACCCTTATGATCTCAACCAAACCAAAGCCCTGTCTCCAAATACTATTCAACATATACATGGGGATGTACATATAATGATGCTGGCAACTCCAATAGGCCAAAGAGAAGCAGTGAAGTGTTGGTTACGTCAGTAACCAACTGAAGGGGAGGGGCACGCACGTTCAGTCCCTAATTGAATAAAGTTATATAAAATAAAGTTATATATTTCTCTAGTAGACATTATACAACATAACCAAATGGCCTTTTCCAACAAGATTATATGTAAGGATTAAGCAAAAAGTGATTTGACAATTCTGAAGTCACTAGGATGTACACTATGTACCCAAAGATGGCACACAGACGTAACTACACTAGATGCAGAGTGACAAGGTAGTTCATTACTCACAATGAATGTTCTAGAACACTAGGGCATAATGCTCTCAGTGAACATCAAAATAACTTGAGAGAGGTCAACTGTGTAGACACTGGAGCTAGACTGTACAGTGGTCCCCCCTCATCCGAGGTTTTGCTTTTGTACTTTCAGTTACCCGTGGTCAACCATGATCTGAAAATAGCAAATAGAAAAGTCCAGAAGTAAACATGCAAACATTTTAAATTGCACAATTCTGAGTAGCATGATGAAATCTTGTGCCCTCCGGCTCTGCCTGTTTGTTCAGTGTATCCACACTGTATATGCTCCCCACATATTAGTCACATAATAGCCGACTTGGTTATCAGGTCAACTGTTGTGGTATCGCAGTGCTTGTGTTCAAATGCCCATTATTTTACTTACTAAGAGCCCCAAAGCTGAAGAGTAATGATGCTGGCAACTCCAATATGCCAAAGAGAAGCAGTAACATGTTGGTTACTTCAGTATCATCAGAAGGTCAGTAGCAGCCTAATGCTACATCACAATGCCTACGTCCTTCACCTCACTTCATCTCCCCACACAGGCATTTTACCATCTCAAACCATCCGAGATATTTGGAGATCAAGAGAGTACAATGAGATATTTGGAGATCAAGAGTGAGCCACATTCGCATAACTTATCACAGAGTATTGTTACAATTGTTCTATTTCATTATTGCTGTTGTTAACATTTTACTATGCCTAAGTGATAAATTAAACTTTATTATAGGTATGTATGTATAGAAAAAAAAATGTGGCATATATAGGGTTTGGTACTATCAGGCACCCACTGGGGTCTTGGAACTCATCTCCCACATGTAAGAGGGGCTGACTGTATAGGTTCAGATCCAGACTTTCCCTGTAACCTCCTAAATAACCAGGGACAAATCACTTGATCTCTCTGTGCCTTAGTTTCCTCATTTGTAACAGGGGACACAATGTTACCTACCCCCTTCCTTGAGTTATGAGGATTAAATGAGTTAATATATATTAGACACAATGTTATTTAAATATAAGTGATTATTTTTGTAAACATGTAACTATTAAAACGATAAATGTTTGTTAATGTGTCACCTAAAATGATCTTGCATTATATGAGTGGTATATACTGCACACTGATCCAGCTGATAGATGGCTCCCTTCCCGCCACTGCCAGTCTTCTTGACTGAGGTTCTTCGAAATGCTGTATTAAATCTTTTAAGCTGCTAGAACGCAATTTGTTAAGACGCTGCTTCTGCTGAGGAAGCCCCAGTAACTGCCACCGCAGCCTGCAGGGATGAGCAGGGACAATCATGCTTCTGAGACGTGCAGCGAGGAAGGGGGACTGTCAGAGAGCCCGGTGCTTAGAGTTTTCCACTGACCCCCACGAGACTTCGGCCACAGAAGCAGCAGACGGTGTCTGCCTCTTCCTTTCATTTTTCCTTAGCACTGATTCTAAGCTTGAAATTAAATAGAAGTTAAACTTCCAACGGAATTGACCCAAACTTCACATTTGTAGCATGGGTTCATTATAAGCTCAGAAGAGACAGTGGCGCATTACTGACAGCCTGCCTCCTGGAGGGCAGTTTTATACACAGGGTGAGTCTGACCCAGGGTCTTAATATGATAACTATCATACACTAAACATACCTAGTTATCTGCCGAGTATGGATAATCCTGTGATTTAACTGCTGATAATACTTGTTTTGTGGATGAAAGCCACGCTACAACTGTGTTTGAAAGAATTTTAAACGAACCCTACTGTGGGCAGGGCCCTTGGTGGGCACTTGAGTGCTAGTTTGAAAGAAAATAATGTGTGTAAGAAGCATGTGATGTTTTTGCAGTGGTTTGAAGGCTGGGTTTGGTAATTATACTCTCCAATGCAAAAATCCAATGTGGCATAATGAAAAACACGCCTCTGTTCTGCTTCCAAAACGAATTCCAAATACAGGACAGTCTTTGCCCAGGCTGACTGTGCTCCATGAAGTGTGCACTCACTCCACTTCTGTGCCTGTAAGAGCTCCAGGATGAAAATAAGAGACCATGAAAACGTGCCACCTCCTCTTCTGTTCCTGTTAACTCCGCCTCTAAGCCACGCTCCTCATCCGCTCCTCATCACCCTGACTGCTCAGTGGACTTATTTGAAAACACACTGAAAACCAGTCTTAATAGAAGGAAAAGTAGTCATGTCAGTAGCAAATCAACCGTGTATTTCAATCATTATTACAATAAAATAGTGTTCATTAAGTACCCTGTAGAGTTATAAAAAGGATAGTTTATGTCAGGTAGAAATAAAAAGCCAGCAAGGAATTACAGAGTTTAATGTGAAAGTCCTTTTTTTACTGCAGAATTCTTACCCAAGCCCTCCCTGCAACGTCAGACACTTGACTACAGGAGCTCAAAGCAACCAAAAATTGCCCATGGATTTTGAACCACACATCACGAACGTTCATAACATCTGTCTTCCCTTATCTAATAGAATTTGCTAATCAAAAAGGGAGACATTTTCTGCCCTTTTTATATGAGAATCAGTGGGTACAAAAGTATGAAGTACTCCCGTAACTGCCTACACAGAGGGCTTATATTATGCACTGTTTATATATCTATATGTTGCTGAGGGCTTTATCAACTAGGTTATGGGGTACTGTTCTGTTTAGGGTTATTCAATGAAGAAATTTCTCTCAGAATTCAATATCAGGAATTATTGTAATTTTCATGAAACTTTCATAAAAAGGTTTCAACTCTTTTTGCTTTTGATGCTAGGCAGCTCAAATTCCTGCCCTTATTTCACAACTTGTACGGCACTTTTACATATACATTTTGTGTGACAATGTTATCCTTATTTTTATCTTCTTTGTCTTACTCTAATTTTCCCTTTTTCACAATTTCTTCACCTACACTTTTTATCTTGCACTATGTTATTAGATGTGTTAGGAACAAGGCACAGTTTAAATTGCTAAATAAAGTATCTAGAAAAAGAAATGACTGTGCCTGGCTGGTGTGGCCCAGTGGTTGAGCATTGACCCATGCACCAAGAGGTCGCCAGTTCAATTCCCGGTGAGGGCACATGCCCAGGTTGTGGGCCTGATCCCCAGTGGGGAGCATGCAGGAGGCGGCCAATCAATGTTCTCTCTCATTGATATTTCTCTCTCTCTCTCTCTCTCTTCCTCTCTCTCTAAAACCAATAAAAAAAAAAAAAAAAAAAAAAAAAAAAAAAGGAATGACTATATTTCATCAGCAGTTATGCTGACTATTGTTTTCTTTGCCATGGGGCACATTTTAGAAGATATCAGCCCGATGGTCCTGGTTTATCTTTTCTTTTTTGTCATAACAATTGTTGTCATTTAATTAATTCTTGCTGTGGTCCAAATACTTTTTTATTTCCAACCATATGGAATGCTTCACTAATCTGCACGTCATCTTTGCACAGAGACTATGCTAATCTTCTATGTATCGTTCTAACTTTAGTGTACATGCTGCTTAAGCAAGCACTATTTTAGTGTATCTTAAACATTTCCAGCAGGTTCTAACATCAAAAAAGTTTTTTGCAAATACAGTTCCTTTTTGTTTGGTTGGTTCCTTTCTTCCCTGGTGTTCCTGGCTGGAATTAATGTTCCTCTTGACCCCACTTTCCCTCTCCCGTACTACACCTCTTAGCATATCACTGACTTAGAAGATTTTTTTTTGCTCCTCTTGAGCATAACTTCAAAAACAAAACCATAAAAAGAGAGCTGTAAAGCCCAAACCAAAGAACAAACAAATTAAAAAAACAAAGTACCTCATGTCCACCAGCAGCACCATAATTAACACATTTGAAAGACTAATAATAAAATGAGAAAAATACCTGCAATATCTGACCACAGGTAAATTTGCTAATATATGAATGTTTATATGTGCCTTGACTGGGAACTGAACTCCACACCTTGGTGTATCAGGACCATGCTCTAACCAACTGAGCTACTCAAACAGAGCATGAATATTTCTTCAGAGCAAAACACACACACACACACTCTACTGGAATAAAATTAATTGAAAGAGCATGAACAAGCAGTTGAATAAGAAGAATAGAAATGAACAACAAAAAACATTAAAAAGTTGAAACTTACTAGTTATTTAAACAAGCAAGTTAAGACTACTGATATTAACCCCTTATCAGAGCTGTTTTTTGTAAATATCTTTTTCTATTCAGTTGGTTGCCTTTTTGTTTTGCTGGTGGTTCTCTTGCTGGGCAGAAGCTTTTTAATTTGATATAGTCCCATTAATTTGTTTTTGACTTTACTTCACTTGCCTTTGGCGTCAAATTCATATAATGTTCTCAAAGACCAAGGTCCATAAGTTGAGTACCTACATTTTCTTCTATGTAATTTATTGTTTCAGATCTTATATTTAGGTCTTTGATCCATTTTGAATTAATATTTGTACCTGGGGACAAGTTAGTCTAGTTTCATTCTTTTGCACGTGGCTTTCCAATTTTCCCAGCACCATCTATTAAATAGGTTCTCTTTTCTCCATTGTAGGTTTTTGGCTCCTTTGTCAAAAATTATTTGCCCATATACTTGTGGTTTTATTTCTGAGCTCTCAGTTCTGTTCCGTTAGTCTGTGTGTCTGTTTTTCTGCCAATACTATGATGTTTTGATTATCATAGCTCTGTAGTAAAATTTGAATTCAGGTAGTGTGATACCTCTAGCTTCATTTTTGTTGTTGTTGTTGGTCAGGATTGCTTTGACTATTCAGGGTCTTTTGTGGTTCCATATGACTCTGATGATTTTTTGGTTGTACTTATTTTTTAAAAAATGTCATTGGGATTTTGGTGGGGCTTGCATTAAATCTGTATATTGTTTTGAGTAATATGGACATTTTAACTGTGCTGATTCTTCCAATCCATGAACACAAAATACCTTTTTATTTCATTGTGTCTTTTTCAATCTCTTTTAATAAAGCTTTGTAGTTTTCGGTATACAGGCCCTTCATATCCTTTAAGTTTATTCCTAGGTATTTCATTATTTTTGTTGCAATTGTAAAAGGAATTGCTTTTTCATTTCTTTTTCTGAAATTTCATTGTTAGGATATAGGAATGCAGTGGATTTTTGTACATCAATTTTGGATTCTGCAAATTTACTGTATTTGTTTAATATTTCTAATAGTTTTTAGGTAGAATTTTTAAGGATTTCTGTATAAAGAATGATGTCATCTGTAAAATATGACACTTTTACTGTTAATATCCAAAATATAGAGAGAACTTCTTTAGCTCAACACCAAACAAACAAACACTCTAATTCAAAAATGCGCAGAGAAGAGACACTTCTCCCAAGAAGACATACAAATGGCCGACAGATATATGAAAATATGTTCAACTTCACTAGCTATTAGGGAAATTCAAATAAAAACTACAAGATACCACCTCACATCTGTAAGAATGGCTGTTATCAACAAGATAGGTGATAACAGGTGTTGGAGAGGTTGTGGAGAAAAAGGAGCCTCATCACTGCTGGTGGGAAGTACACTGGTACAGCCACTATGGAAAACAGTATGGAGTTTCCTCAGAAAATTAGGAATTGAGTTGCTATATGACCTAGAAATTCCTCATTTGGTTATCTAACTCCCCAAATTGAAAACATTTATTCACAAAGATATACGCACCCTATGTTCATTGCAGCATTATTCACGGTGGCCAAGACATGGAAGCAACCAAAGTGTCCTTCAATAGATGGTTGGATAAAGAAGATGTGAACTACCCAGCCATAAGAAAAAATGAAATACTGCCACTGTGACAACATGGATGGACCTTGAGAGTATTATGCTAAGTGAAATAAGTCATTCAGAAAAAGCTAAGAATCATGATTTCCCTCTTATGAGGGATAGAAACTGAAATCCATAGACAGAGACAACAGTATGGAGGTTACAAGAAGGAAGGGGCTAAAGGGGCACTAAAGGGCAAAGAGGGCCAAATATAGGTGCTGGAAGATGATCTACTGTGGGGGGTGGGCACACAGTGCATTATAAGATCATGTATCACAGAAATGTACACTCGAAAAACCTTTATAATCATATTAACCAGTGTCACCCCAATGATTTAATAACATTTTAAAAAGGTAGTATTGATAGTTTTTTGCTTAACAAATTGGGAGAGAAAAAAAATTAAAAAGAATTCTAAAACCTGATGGGAATATGTCTGAATTTTTCTGGGAAAAAATTGATGCTAAAGATGAAAACCTGTAAAGTGTCCTTAACTAACCCGTAAGGAAGCGTGTGCAGGTTGTGGAGGCAACCTGTACGCCCCTCAGGGGTGATGAGGGAGAGACGTGCATGCACACAGTGGAAGGCCAGGCAGCAAGCAGAGCCAATTAGCTATATTTTCATATAGCATGAATGTATCTTAAAATCACAGTATTTAAATCTAGTATGTAAGAAACAAAATGAGATGATTAGCACAGTGTCATTTGTGTCCTACATATAATATGTATTTGTCTATATATTAAAAGCACAGGTACATACCACAACCATGAGTTTTTTAAGGATATACATATTACTACATAAAAGAATGGACAGTGAATTAAAAAGATAGGTATTAAATACACAAGGATGGGTTCCTGGGAGGAGAAAGATGGGGGATGAAGATAATAAAAATAACATGAAATGAAATGTGAAAGAGGTCTTGCCTGGACGACTGTGCCATGAACTGAAGTATATGAGAAACTTAACTTTGGGTAGTTTAGATGTCTGTCTGTGGAACCAGAAATTGTACTTATGCTAAAATTTATTCTAACACAATATTTATTCTCTGTTGACCCTCTACTTTTTAGAAAACTGAAATAAAACACATTTCATAATAAAAAATTATAGACATAAAGCCTGATGACTTTTCACATAGTGAACACACTCATGTAAATCACCTTCCAGATCAAGAAACAGGACATTTTCAGCTCCTAACATCTTCTGAGTCTCTACCAGCCCATTACTGGCCTTTATCAATGGTAACCACTATTGTGATTTCCCTCAGATTAGCTTTATCTCTTTCAGTCTTCCAAAGATGGAATTATGCAGTATGTACTCTTGTGTGTCTGCTTTCATTTTTTTGGGAGATTAACCCATTTTTTCAAAGGAAAGTATAATATTTTAATCTATAAATGCATCACAATTTATTATTCTAATATTGGTGAACTTTAAGTTGCTCTCAGTTTTTTATTATTATGGATAAGGCTGCTAAGAACACTCTTGTCCAAGTCATTGGGGCAAATGCATGTTTTTCTCTTTGGAGGAGAGGAGTACCAAGGAGATGAATAGTTGGTTCATAGCTATGTATACGGTCAGCTTTGGTAGATACTGCCAACCGAGTTTTACTTCCTCCAGCAGTATATGAGAGTTCACCTGCTCCATATTCTCACCAACATTTGGGAATTGCTAGTCTTTTGAAGTTTAGCTATTTTGATGGGCGTCTTGTTTTCACTATTTTTTGTTTAACTCAACTTATGGATTTCATATCTTTTTAAAATTTTTTTTATCCTCACCCTAGGACACTTTTCCATTTTTTGTTCAAGATAGAGTGGGAGGGAGAGAGAGAGGAGAAACATCAATGTGAAAGGGACACACTGAGTAGCTGCCACCTGCACAACCCAACCAGGGATGAGGACAAAGTGCAACCGAGGTACGTGCCCTTAGCGGGAACTGGACCCCGTCTCCCTGGACAGCAGGCCGATGGTCTAACAGCTGAGCCAAACCGGCCAGGGCAGATTTCATATCTTTTTTAAACCAGGTTAGATTTCACTGTCTAACATTTCTATCACTCTCTTTGTCCCAAGCCCACTGTCATCCCATTCTGCTCACTAGTAAACATTGCAAGTGCAGGTCAGTCATTCTGCCTCCTCTGCCTTACACATCACCTACTGCTTATTGCTGGAGGGAATTATGCAACAGTACAGACTGGTACCTTTCTATATTGAGGGTTAAACTTAAGTGGGCTCTCTCTCCATCCCCACTGCTACTTTCCTAGGATGGACCTTCTCGATCTTTTATGCATTACTGCAATAGCCACCAAGCAGTCTCTGGCTCTTCTTGGTTGACACTCCCGAAGCTGCCTTCCCTACATACCCTTGACATTCTTGCTCAGTGTTTCTTAAATATTTTTTAACTTGATTCACACACATTAACAAAACACAAGTTTTTAAAACAAAATTTGACCTTTGTACAGTGATGCACTCTGATATGTTCCATTCTACCTCATTTTACATGAAATATTGGCCATGACCAACAAAATTGCTTTTATAACTGACAAATGGATTGTCACTAGCACATCATAAAACACATTAGCTCTATTGTAGATCTTTCAGTTTCTGTAACGCCCCCCCTTTCTTCTCTCTGGAACCTGCCACACATTCCCAGCAGCTGTTGCTCGTCTCCAGGGCTCCACTCCAGGAAGCCTTTTTGTACCCCTGTTATGTATGCACTCTGTAATGCAATTTTCTGTTTACTTTCTTATATTTTCCAGTGCACTG